TTCCGCTGTCATGAGCCGTATTTCCTGCTAGTTCCAGGATCTCAGTGGTCAGGCACTCGAGCAAAGCTGGCAGGTAGATGAGAATGCATCCACAGAACATCCTTTTCAACCCATCTGAGATTTGGGGCTGTAGTTGAGATATTATTTGAGCCATTGAGATGTTAATCAGCTGCTGTTGGTTGTAGAAAATGGCCTTGTTGCCATGGTTACGCATAACAAATGTCCAAAACTAAAAAAGTTTCAGTAAAAATCCTTCCAACTGCACAGCATCTGATACCAGAGGAAATAATCATCCAAAAAAAAGTGATTTACATCCAGAAAAAGAGGAATTAATGTTTCCAAAAGCAAAATCTCAGAATAAAAGTAACAGAGCTGCTCCAACATGCAGCCACCTTGAGCGGCGCAATTCTGGAATGATGCCTTGATTCCTATGGAAAATATATATATATAAAAAAAAAACTAAAAAAGTTATTATTTTTGAGCCTACTTACATTTTAAGAGCAGATAATTTTCAAAAAGTATCCAGTCATAACATTTAGGGGCGGAGCTTGGGGTTTAATTCTGCCTCTAGTAGGAAGTGCTTGTTTGCTCGCAGGTGGAAACCAATAAAAGTGATGAGACCAGAGCCCAGCAGAACCCACTTCTACATTCACCTTTAAGCAACGCCGTCCAGGTGAGTTCCTGCTGGGGACTTTTTTTTGTCAGACTTTTTTTTTTTTGTGTGCTTTTTAAATTTAATCATTTTTATAATATGTTTGTATGTGTGCATCACAAACTGAAGTCTTTAACTTTTTTTTTTCTTCAGATGTTCACACTAAACTGAAATGGTGCATTTAATTAACATCAGCTTTGCTTTGGACACTCAAATGTTCCTACTGGTTCCCTGGAAGTACCGGGCAGAAGCGATTTAAATAACCAAAACACAAATAATTGGGGAATTGGCAGAAGTAGAGAAGTGAAGTTGCACTTGTGCTTCCAAACATCAGGCATTGTTTTCTGTCTCCTGAATTAAAACAGAATATTACTCTTCCCCTTTCAGTGGTGCTGCAAATGAATGTTTCTAACCACTTTTTTCATTTTCCTCACCCAATATCTAAATGTGTGGCTGCAGATGTTTGTGTCTGTTCCCAAATTAAACTAACTACAAAATGAGGGTAGTAGGAGGTTGTATATTTAGGTTTCCCCATCCATTTCTGATTCTTATGTCATCTCTGCAGCAGGTAAGACACTATCTACAAAGTTAATTTAGCTTCTCCTTTTTGTTTTTAGCTGTAACAGAGTCCATAAAACTCCCGAAGACATCCCTCCCAATCAATGAAAACCCTCCCAACAATAAAACTGCTGCTTTTAAAATCCACATTGTTGAAACTGCATTGATGATGTCGTCCTGCTTTTTCAGTCGCAGGTCTGAAATGTGCTCTCCTCTGCAAAACGCCGTTGAGGACATGATCAAGATTTTCTACAGCTATTCAGCAAAAGAAGGTGACAAATATAAACTGAACAAGAAGGAGCTGAAGGATCTGTTGGAGAAAGAGCTCCCTGCTTTCTTCAACGTAAGTGAGTTTTTATTATCAAACTGGTGTGAGTTGGACTTTGAAAAAGTGAGAACTGGCTCTCTTGATATTAGATGTACATTTCTTGGTCAAATGTTTAAACTCGCTGAAAGACTTTGGCTCTTTGAGGGTGAGGTTCTGCCTCAAGTGGAGGAGTTCAAGTATCTCTGGTTTTGTTCACGAGTGAGAGAAGAATGGAGCGTGAGATTGACAGGATTGGTGCAGTATTGTGGACTCTGTGCCGGTCTGTTGTGGTGAAGAGGTAGCTGAGCTGAAAGGCAAAGCTCTGTTTACTCGTTTGTTTACATTCCTACCCTCACCGATGGTCAGGAGTTCTGGGTAGTGACCAAAAGAATGAGATCACGGATACAGGTGGACGAAATGAGTTTCCTCCACAGGGTAGCTGGACTCATTTTCGAGATGGGGTGAGAAGTCCAGCTATCTGGGAGAGACTGAGTAGACTCATCAAAAGGAGCCAATTGAGGTTGTTCAGGTATCTGGTAAGGATGATTCCTGGACACATCCCTAGGGAGGTGCTTTGGGCATGTCTGACTGGGAGGAGACCCTGGGGAAGTCTCAGGACATGTTGGAGAGACTCTCTTGGTTGGTCTGGGAACTCCTTGGGGTCCCCCCAGAGGAGCTAAAAGAGGTGGCTGTGGTGAGAGACGTCTGGACCTCCCTGCTCAAGCTGCTGCCCCCACGACTGGAACGGGAACGGTCTTCCACGGAACGAAACCGTGGAACTCGGAACGAGAACGGTCTTTCAATCTTGGGATTTTATCAACTGATGTCAGTGTTTTGTTAAACTTGTGTTCTGGCACTGTGTGCTGTTTAAGCTACAGAATACTTTAAATATCTTGTGATATGAAGCCGTTTTTGACCTCTAAAAGATTTTAAACAATTAAGTTCAATGCAAAAATCAATGCAGATATATTCCTAATTTTTAGTATTTTTACATCGTTTCATAATGCAGCTTGATTTTTAATTTAACTTTTTATTTTATATGCATTTTATGGCTGTTTGTTGTGTACTTTTTTTTTTTTTTTTTTTAAATTGTGGTGTGTCTAAAACAGGTCGCTCAATGAGACTAACCTGTATAAATAAAGCTTGAATGAAAACAATATTCCTGATTTAATTTTTTTAAGTGTGATGTTCTGTGAAAATGACACATTGGCACGCTTTGTTTCCACACTTGCAGATTAAAATTTTGTGGTGACTGAAGTCTCAACACTTCTGTTTCAGGGCACCAATGATTCCTCTCTGGTTGAGAAGCTTCTGTTGGACCTGGATGACAACAAGGATGGTGAAGTGGATTTTGAGGAGTTTGTCAATCTAGTTGCTGCTCTGGCTGTCGCTTCCAATGAATTTTTTGTAGATTACGTTAAAGAGGAAGACCTGAAAAAAGCTGAGGATCATAAGGAATGTGGAGATGGCCACAAAAGAGACTGAAATAAAACTACATAAAAACTGCAGTAAAGGCATCGTATTGGGATAAAGTGCTTTGTAATGTTGCAAAAATGATTTATTTTCCTTAAGTCCATATTAATAAAAATGTTTTTGATTTTGAACAAATTTATTTGGCTATGATTTACATCTTGCACATATTTATCCCATTAATAGTTTTGAGTTAAATAAATTTTAGCTGTGAGCGCCATCTAGTGTTCAAACAGTAAATAACATGCTCCTGATGTAATTCATCAGTCTTTTAGGTTACTCTTTATATTTTACATGAATAATCTCAAATCGGGCACTATCAGTTAAAAATAAATATAATCCTTTGATATAATCTGAGGAAAAACATCTGACGTAATCATCCAATGATATGTCAAGATTTCAAATCTTGTTAGTGCAAAAACTGTTTCATTTAAAACAATTTAAAGCAAATATAGACATAGATTTAAAAATGTTTTTCAAACCGTACTTGACATCAGTTTCTGTATCTGTCCTGTAGTGCTGACGTGGCTAGAAGTGTCCAGATACTTCAAGATGGAAAACATGTCTGTTCTGAATTTTATAATGGTCTTATTGGAGTCGTAATTTCTTTAATTTCAAAAATGCAAAGGGGTCTTGTAGTGATCAAAAACCCTCAAACATTTTTAAATGGTTTCTAATTTTATAATTTGTGTAAATGTGACTTTGAATTAGTGTGCTTTTATGATTGCTGTTGATAAACCGTGTAAAGCTTAAATATTTTTTGGTATATACTAAAATTTTAGTTGGATGGAAAAATAAAGGTGCACGCATGAGCTTCCTCTGGTTACTCCGGTGTGCATAAATGTCCAATGCAGATGTGGCAACCCCAAGAAAATCCTTCACTCAACAAGAGGAAACAGGATATTTCCGGACTTTCATATTTGAAATTTATTTTTATACACAAACTGACAACTCCTGCATTTTTCACATTGCTTACAATAAATATTTGTGAAGTTCTCTCCTTATCTGAAGCGGCTTCATTAAAGGCCTACAGTATGAAACTGGCATGCCTTTTTCTTTCAGAGCTTAGAAACTTCATAAGAATTTTTAAAGCATTCCTCAGCGAGAGAAAAATATCTGTCCTCAATCTAAGTTTACTTGTTGCTCCAGATGTTAGAAAAGTCGAGCAGAAGTTGAAGTAGCTTAATTTACTTTTGATGGAAAAACAAACAAAAAAATCACTAAATTCTTCATATTTAGATCAAAATAATGAAGCATCCATCAACCATCTTTTACCCGCTTCTTCCTTTTTGGGTGGCGGTGGTCACTGCTGTCCATGTTCTGCTATCAATGTGGGAG